GTCATTTTTGATGCTTATCATCTCTAAATAGACTAGCCCTGATCTACGGACGTTACAATTATCTCCCCCTTAGGATGATTACGTCTCGGAATCATCAACGAAATAGGACTTGCATAATGATTCCACACGTTATTTCTTCATCCTAGGTAATAACCGTAACTTCTATGTTTCCTCGAAAGAGTATTTAACTCTATGGCTTTCTTGACCGTAGACGATGTCCAATCGTGCATCTACTTATCGTACTATGTTATACTTTCCATCGTAACCTTCGAGTTACCAAATAAATCCTTATTGTATACTCCTTCCTCTTCTTAGGATAAATACTTTCCTTTATCTATTGCAACAGACCGATGGGTTGTGCTATAATTACCTCTCATCGCATGATGCAACACTTAGACTCAGGTCCTTTAGAGTTAAATTCCAAAATGGAATATCCCTTCCTTCATATTCTAATGTGATATAACCACATTTAACATATAGCTTTTCTAGCTACAAACTTCATTAATAACGAGCGCGATACAATTGATCGCATCGATTTCAATCTTCCGACTCACGTCAAATGTTACATCGAACCTGGTTCTCTGAACCCCGTAACATACTCACCGTAGTTGGACTAAATTTGAATATGACCACTAGGGTCGGAATAACAATCATCCTACTAGTCATTATCGAAACAAGGGTAATGACATACTCGAATAAAATGGAATCAATTACTAGCTTCTTGGTAACCTTGTGACTTTCCCTGATCCAAGTGCGAGTCCTGTGCTTCCGGTAGTATATGCATCTACTACCTTTCACACCTACTCATACTCTTCCCAAGTATTGTCCCGCAGTCGACCAAGTCATCATACAAGAAAAATCACACAATCATTCAACACATCAGTTAGCAAAACTAGGGTTTATATTATTTCTTGAAACGATTACACAAAGGTTCAAGTTCACCCTATACTATGCCTCTAGTAGGCTACACTTCCTGATACAGACTTTATACATATATGAAGTCTTCATCCTTGAATCCTCGCGTTGTTTTCTACTTCATCGAGGATCATGTGAAATGCCCGTGGCTTTGGTGGTACATTTGTCCTTGTAGCCTCTTCTCTTATTAGGCAGTTTTTCTTGAAGTGACCTTCTTCACCACACTTAAAGCAGGCTTCTCTTTTGGTTTGGCATTTGCTGGCGTAATGACTAGTCTTCCTGCATTTAAAGCAGGTCATTTCTATAGAGCATTCCCCAATGTGCTTCCTTTTGCACTTGTCACACCATTGTGCTCCTTCTTCGAGCTTCTTTGAATCAGACTTCGAAAATTTTATCTTCTCATCGGACCTTGAGGATCCTTCAATCTTTCTTTTCTCACCCACCTCGATTCTCTCTAGACCCCTTTCCTTTAACTGGGTCTCCACATTTTTAGCTGCTCGAACTGCTATCTTCAAAGTAGTTGCTATCTTGACTATTGGGCTAAAGTCGGCAGGCAGTCCATTTGCGAACCTCTCAATTTTTGAGAGTTTAGTTGGCACTAGGTATGGAAATAACTTCATATTTTTGGTAAATGTAGTAGCATAATCATCAATGCTCAATTTACCTTTGATGCCTTGCATGCACGTAAAGTTTGCAACTTTATGTGGTATCTCAGTCCTAAGAGGCTAGATCTGTAGTTTGGGGCCTTGAGTTCGTCTGGAAGGGGCTGAGTACGTTAAGACAGGAAAACTCAACGAGTTGCTTAGCCAACTCATCGAGTTGATATGGTTTTCCCGCTTACTGGATGATGAGTGAACTCGGCGAGTTGATAAGATAACCTGACGAGTTAGTTAGGGTTTTTCCCAGTTTTCTTTACTAGCTGCACTCGACGTGTTGGGTCAACATAGACTGTTGACCTTGACTGTTGACTTTGACTTTCACCATGGTTGACCAAGTTTGACTTCTGAGGGTATTGTGGTAATTTTGGATTTTATTGGAATTAGTCATATGGTGGTTACAAGCAGTTGAGTTTGGAGCTATGAGTTGGGATTCGATTTTATCGGTTCAACACTACTTGTGAGGTGAATTTTATCACTATGCCAACAATTCGATTTTTATCGGTTCAACACTACTTGTGAGGTGAATTTCATCACTATGCCAACAGGGTCAAAGGTACCAAGGTCGGACCTTTTTGGATTGTTATCCTGGTTATCGCAGGATGATATGCTTAGTGATCTATTAGATCTGTATCTTGGTATATTGGATAATGCTATGTTTAGTGACCTGTTAGGTCGCTATTCTGGTATATAGGATGATGTTATGATTAGTGATCTGTTATATCTATCTGACTGTTTGTACATGCTAGCTAGCGTATGATATTATGTGTTGATTGTGTGATTTCCCGTGGGTTGAGGTGGTCCAGCTTTATGCCTTAGGCCAACAGACCTAGGGCGGGCCGGATATACTGAAGGCCCATCGGGGCATACCAGTCAGGCCGAAGGCTCAGAGAATGGTCCAGACAGGTTGAAGGCCTAGTAGGGCGGACCAGACATGCTGAAGGTTCTGAGAGTGGGCCATATATACTGAAGGCCTGACGAGGGTGGTCCAGTCATACTGAAGACTCTATATGCATCCTGTTTGTTTTGATATTATTCTGGTTTGTATGGCGTTGGTATTTTGGGGGAACTCACTAAGCTTCGGGCTTACAGTTTTGGATTTTGTTTCAGGTACTTCGGATGATCGCGGGAAGGCTAAGGCTTGATCATGTACTTCCTCACATTTTATGATTTTGATTTATGGGATACTATGATATGAAACTATTTTGAAAATATTTTGTAATAAGTAATGGTTTTTGGATGCTTGAAAAAGTTTTAAATTTTCATAAATTTTATGGATGTTACAACATATCTCTAGTCCTTGTGTAATATGAGTGTGAGTGTGATATGTAGTGAGGTTTTTTGATGTATTCTTTTGACGTAAACCATTTGTTTCATAGTGAATGAAATGATGATGTTGGGACGTTCTTGAGTTGTTTACATTTTTTAGATGGTGTCAAAGCTATCAGGCTCCGATTCTTCTATTTTGACGCTCCTTGGTGATTTCTTCACTCGATCGTCAGTTTAAGAACGTATTATTTGAATCCTCTCCTTGTTTCTTTTGTTTTTTGGTTAGATCGTCACTGTTGTTGTTCGATATAGGGTTTCAATTCTGAATCCTTAGTTTTGTTACTTCAAATGTGACTTCTTTGGTTATTCATTTCGATTTAGGGTTTCCGTTGTTACTCCTTTAAATCAAAACGAATATATGTATTCTGATTTCTCTTTAGATCCTAGTACTGCGAGGTTGTTTATAATCTTGCGGATTATTGTTGTCTTGTTGTGGTGATTCTTTTGAAGTCTCATCGCCTGGATCATTTTCAATCGTCGATCAATCTCCTAATCTGAAATAACTCTCTAGGGGTCGGATTTTGTCACCGATAAACCCTAGTAGGAAATAGACAAAGACAAATGACACGTTATTTCTATTTGACTATTTCTCGATAGCTATGTGAGGATCTTCTTATTCCTCTCTCTTTTGATATTGTTCTATTCTAGGAGATCCTGGTTTTCTTGTGTACACTAGTTATTTTTTTGTTGTTTCTTTTATATTTGATTGATTTTCCTTAGCTCTATACTAGTTGTCTTGGGCCCAAACATACGTGGTGACCATATAGACTTAAGATCAGTGCAGATGTATGTTTTCTTTATTACTTCATGCTTGTTCATCTTCTTTGTCTATCTTTATGGTTGGTGATCCTACGGATCCACCTGGTGGGAGTGGAAAGGATGATCAAGTTAGTTTTGATGATCCTCTCTTCATTCACCCATCTGATAATTTTGTTACTTAAACTGTCACCACAAAGTTAACTGAAAATTTTAGACTGTGGAGAAGCTCTATTTCTAAGGCTCTTAAGACTAGGAACAAACTTGGATTTGTTGATAGACCTTTGAAAATGAATGATGTTGATGGGTTAAAAAAGTCTAAATGGGATAGGGTTAATGTTGTTGTTTGTTCTTGGCTTCTGTCTTCTATTTCTGATTCTATCTATCAGAGTCAAGCTTATTCTAAGGTTGTTGAGGATATATGGAAAAATCTTCTTGAAACATATAATAAATATGATGGTTCTATTGTGTTTAATATTCACCAACAGATCAATTCTTTTAAATAAAATGGAATCTCTTTATCATATTACTTCAATAAGCTTGATTCCTTATGGAAATAATTTGATGGTCTTACTAGTTTCACTGAGTGTACTTGTGAAGCTTCTATTAAACTCAAAGATCATTCTAATCTGATGAAACTTATGCAGTTTCTTTTTAGGCTTGATGATTCATATAAGTAAGTCAAAAGTCATATTTTATTGATGGAACCCTTAGCTAATGTCAAAAATGCTTTTTCCATTGTGTCAAGAGAATAGTCTCTTCAAAGAAATAGTTCTTTGTCTTCTCTTTGGTCATCTTAGTTTGTGTCTAAATCTCATTCTGTTGTATTCACTACTAGAAAAAAGACCTTTAATGACGCGCTTTTTACGACACGCGATAATTAACGATACGCAAAAGGACGTGCTCTTAAAATAGTGTCATCTCTCCAAAAAATTTAAGGATTTACGTCACGCTTTATTGCGTGCCCTTAATGTAGTGTCTCAAGAAAAAAAATTAAAAACACGGAGGGCGCTTTATCTAAAACGCGCGTCGTCTGTACCTGTCGCTTTATAATTTTAATGAAACGCGCTTTTAGTATACAAGGGGGGAAATGAAATCCCCAAAATTTTGAAAGCCCGCCCTTTTTTTTCTATCTTCTATCTATCTTTCATCTTCAACCTAACAAGGACGAGCGTTGCACTCTTGATTTCCCTAACTCTTTCTCATTTTCTGATTCAAACTTGAAAGAATCGAAAAAAAATCTATCAATTTTGAAGCCTAAAGAATCACAACCCCCTATCAATTTTTAAAAAAAAAGTCTATCAATTTTGAACATAGACCTACCCACAATGTATTTCACCGGAAGTCTCTTTCGTCTCCACACCCTTGAGATCTCTCCATCGCTTCCCGGAGGAAATCTCAGGTTGTTTTCAGCTTTGGGGTTTTTCGATTTCATCATTTTCCCCAATTTTCAGCTCCCGATTCTTCCCTTCGATTCCACCCCACCCTCCTAATCTCACTGATTTCTTCATTTTCAATGGGATCTCTTTCTTTGTGAGTTTTCTTTTCACGTCACAACAGTTGATCACCGAAGAAGCAATTTTCCAAATCTTTTTGTTGTTAATCAAAATTGCGTGTATGGCGATCAGATTCACTGTTTCTTACTCCGACTACGTGGCCCAAAACCTAGCCACCGCCTCCGGAAAATCCAATACATGCCGAATTTTTCACGAGGTTTTTTCTCGTCCTCGTATATTCCAGAATCCCGACTGAGATCCCATCGCCGGGTACGGTCCGGCAGCAACGGCGGGTTCAAGGTGTTCGGTTTCGGCGTATGCCACTCTCGCATGTGATTTTCTTGGCGTTGAGACCTCCTCCAAACCTTCTCCCCTCGTTGTTGGATTGATCTCGTTGGTAAAGTAAACGGCTACCGGTGGTGGCGTTGGTGGTGGTTCTGGGGTTTTTGGGATTTCGCCGTTGAAGGCGTCTTCCATGATTCTGTTTTTCCAAGGGTGGAAGTGGCTCCCATGTAACGAGATTAACAGTACGGAGGTTGATAAAGGCGGTACTAGCTCGATGAAGTCCAATCAGACTACTACTGATTGCGTGAAAACCTGCAATGTTGCAAGTACCAAAATCATCGTTGAGAGGAAGAATTGGTTTTCAAAACTATTAAGTGTTTGCTCCGATGATGCTAAGGCTGCCTTCACCGCTTTGAGTGTCAGTATCTTATTCCGATCACAATTGGCTGAACCAAGATCCATTCCCTCTGCATCCATGAGCCCTACCCTTGATGTGGGTGATTGCATAATGGCCGAAAAGGTATAATCCCAATTCTAACCTTATTACACACTATATGAATGATGGTTTCCAATTTCACCATTTTGGCTTTTCAATTCACATAGTGATTGTATGCAAGATTTTGAGTTTTTGCCTGTTATTGATTTAGGTTTCATACATCTTTCGGAAGCCAGAAGTTTCAGATACTGTGATCTTCAAGGCTCCTCCCATTCTTCAGGTGCGATTTCACTTCTTGATTATAAGTATCTTTGATTAGTTCTGTGTTTTGTTGTTTGCTCATTGTCTTGTATCAATAATCTTGTAGGAATTTGGCTACAGTTCTGGTCCTGTATCAAGATTACAATCCTTATGATTTTTGTGATGTGATGGTGCAGGGGTCCACTTCCGGTGAAAAACATTGTGGGTAGGTTATATGCAGTGATTAGGTTAATTTACTCATAGTTTTGACTAATTTGTTTTATCATCATGTCCAGGTCCCTTCTCTACTGTGTTCCGTGAAATGATACTCTCCTACATTATGCAGCCATGTTGTATAATCTTAGCCATTACACCTTCAAATTCAGATTTGGCAAACTCAGATGCACTTCAAATGGATGGGATTGTTGATCCTGATGGTAATTATCAAATATACTATGTTTTGTTAATGGTAATTATCAGGAGTTCCATTTGTAATTCACATAGCATTTCAATTTTGAGTAGCTAAATGCTTATGATAATAATATAAATATATATATATATATATATATATATATATATATATATATATATATATATATATATATATATATATATATATATATTTCAGATTGGATCTTCACTTGGATTTGAAGATGGAGATTTTGAATCTTCCAAAATAATTCACCCTGCTGCTTTGTTTTATCATAATGAGGATGATTCCTTCTATTTTGTTGACTCAGAGGTATTCTTTTTTAAATGAGTAATTACAAATATATTGATGGAGATATAGTCTTATTATCGTTTTTACTTTCCAAGTGAACTGGTCACTAGCTTGTGTGGTGGTTGTGGCGGAATCAAAATGGGGGTTTTAGCCATACTCAAGCAAAACATATAGACATCATTACCACTTGGCCAATTGTCATGGCCCTCCACTCGCTGGTTCTAAACCCTGAAGACACGACAAAACAGAGGGTATAATATCATGAGACATGTATGTGTTTCTTGGTCATGAAACAACAGCTGCAAAACAACAGCTCCCATCATACAACAGAGGGTATATATATGTAATTTTAAGTTTTTTGTGATTGATTTAATCTTTTATGAATTTGTTATTATATTATATATATATATATATATATATATATATATATATATATATATATATATATATATATAGTTTGTTGGGTGCAGGTTGGATCTATGAAAGGTAAAGCTATTAGGATGGGAGTCATAAGCACCTCACTGCTTACCGCAGACAATACTCCTATGGTTGTACCAAATACCGTATTTTCTAGTCAGGTGACCATTACTTCTTTCCTCCATAACCTTAAAAGTTTTGTTTTAGTATATAAGATAGTCTTCCAATATTTATCATAGGCAATTGTGAACAAATCATATGTTGGTTGGCATGAATTGGTGTCTGATAGCTTTCCCAATACACCCTTCATTTTCATCGGTTGAAGAAGCTGCTTTCTTCTCAGTTCTCCCTGCCTCTTTCTTCCGTCTTTTTCTTTCCTTTTTTTTTACATCTTCTTTGTAGGGTTCATCAGTTCAAAAGTTCCTAAATTACCCTTCATCTCTTTTATCTTTGTCCACCATTCTCATCATCAATTAGCAAGAAATACGTATATTTCTCCTCCTCCACCACCCCCACTATCTCCATTTTTGGTTTTAGAAATATTTCATCACCATCTTCATCTTTCGTTTGAAACAAAATCGCCAAAATAGAGGTGGGTTGTTGTTCTTCGTGATGTATTACTTGAATTTTTTAGTTTCTTTATTTTATCAGTAATTGAAATAGATCAGACTACAACTACACAAACACTTACATAGGATGCCACCTGTGCCTCCTACAAAATTTCACATTCCAACCTGACTTCATTTCCTTATTTTTAAAAGGGGGAAGAGGTCACAGACACATAAAAAGCAAAACACTGAAGCAACTGGATTCACATATTGAGAGCATACACTCGCCTTTAGTTTCTGATTTCTCCTTTTAAGCACCTGACCATATTCGTTGCTTTGATCATATTCTTACAATTGTTGCTGGACTTAGTGTCAGGGATCATTTTCTTTTGCCTCAAGAGAACAAAGACGTGAGTAATCCAGCTACTTTCACACAAGTGCATTTTGGTCTTTTCCTGATATCTTTTGTATGTCTATTTCAGCAAGCTAGTACAACAAAATCAATATTTTCTGCAAAGGATTACAATGATCATATGGCACTTGTGTGTGAATATGAAGGATGGAAAGAAGCTGAAAGAGAAGGATATGCTTATAAATATTGCTGGAGGAATTTCCTTTATGCTCAAACACTTCAAGCTATACATTCTTTAAGGAATCGTTTATCCATATTTTAAAAGATGCTCAATTACTTGAGACTAAATCGGGGATTAGCAACAGATTAAGTCATAATCAATCATCGGTTAGCGCCATTATATGCTCAGGCCTTTTTCCTGGCATTGCATCTGTAGTGGTATGTATGCTTAATGCTTATTTATTTAATTTACAATTTACAATACAATTCATAGATATATGAATCCATATGTTACTTAATTTTGTTCTTTTTTATTTTTAATATGTGCAGCATAGGGAGACATCAATGTCCTTCAAAACTATAGATGGTGTCCAAGTCTTACTCTATGCAGTATGTATTAAAGAAATAGTAATGCACTTTCATTCATTTGTTTCATATTTTTTTCACATTTCTCTAATGATATTTTTCCTTGAGTCATAGAATGATTGGCTCATATCTTGTTTTTTGATATTTATACGCAGTTTTTTTCTTACGTCGGTGGTGGCGAAGTTCAAGATTAAGGGAGGCTTGTAATCATGTTTGGCTTTCCTTTCCAGTAAGAAACAGAGTTGTATGATTATTTGTTAGTTTTATAGGAATGTATAACACATGTTAGCAATGTATTATTTTTGTTTAACATTTGAATGATTTTTTGTATGACATTATAATTTGTGCAATTTATTTTATATTATGCAATGGATTGTATTTTTTGTATATGGTATTTTATTTTTGTTATAAGAAATTAAATGAAAATTTAATTTAAAAATTAATAAATATATAAATTTATTTTTTTTAAACATTTAAATTTACGATACGCAAAAATGTATGTCATCTTCATTTATGACATGGCCTTTCTTGACAGGGGCTTTCTTGATACGCATTGCGTGTCATTAACACGCGCGTCGTAAGGTTACGACACGCGAATGCGTGTCGTCTTCCTTTATGACAGGGCCTTCCTTGATACGCATTGCGTGTCGTAACCGCGCATCGTAAATGCGCGTCGTCTCTCTTTATGACAGGGCCTTCCTTGACACGCATTTGCGCGTCGTCTGAGCGTTTTACGACGCGCAATGAGCGTCGTAAAAGGCCTTTTTTCTAGTAGTGATTCAACAACAGATGTAATAACATATCTAATTCTAATAATTCTAATAAGAATAAGAACCAAATTGTTCAGTGTAAAAACTGTGGTATTAAAGGTCATAACATAGAAAATTATTACAAGTTAATTGGTTGCCCTAAGGACTTCAAGAAAAGAAATGAATATAATAACCAGAATAATTTTAGCAAAATATTTTCTACCAATTTGAAACATCCCAAAAATACAAGCCAAAAATTTCTGTTTTAACACATTACTAAAACCATAATATCAAAATATCATATAATAAAACCATAAGTCGTGTGTCTCAAAATATCATAAAATATGTCTCATATCACAACTGATGTCAAATCATGACAAAATATCAGAGTCTAGCTCCCAGGCTAAAACTGTGGTAGGTGTCATACCATCATCCCGAGCCCTTCCCCTTGCTAGCTGAAGTACCTGAAACCAAAACTAAAACTGTAAGCATGAAGCTTAGTGAGCTCCCCCAAACTACCACATACCATACAATAACATATAAAGCACATACTGGGCCTTGCCTACTGCATCGGACCGAAATCCGGAAACTGCATCGGATCGAAATGCGGATATGGCATCGAACCAAAGTCCGGAAACTAACCAGGGCCTTGCCCTCTGCATCGGACCGAAGTCTGGAAACTGCATCGGACCAAAGTCCGGAAACTAACCAGGGCCTTGCCCACTGCATCGGACTGAAGTCCGGAAACTGGCTGAACATAATCATATCTACTAACATAACACATACACTGCACATTGCATCGGACCGAAGTCCGGAACACATAACACAAAGACATTATTGAATCACAAATACATCAAGCACACTAGACTACTGCATCGAACTGAAGTTCAAACTACCGCTAACTAAACGGGCTGGCATTATGGCCGTAGACTCGTTCCTACTAGAAGGAAACTCACCTCATAACGCTGGCTGCTGAGATGCTAGATCTGAAACTGTCTGACTGCTGCTCCGGAACTCCCCGGCTACAAATCCCATAAACACTAAATCAAATACTGACAACTAATCTCAGGGTAAAATGACTATTTACCCATGGTCAAGTCAACTTCCTAGTCAAAGTCAACTTTCAGTTAACTAGACTCGCCGAGTTGGGCCGCTAACTCGCCGAGTTGGGCCGCCAACTCGCCGAGTCCCTATCATCCATTCTAATCCTCTATCCGCTTCTACTCATCGAGTTTGGAAAAGACTCGATGAGTTCTTCTTCGATACTAACATTGAGTCTAACTTCATCCGACTCACCGAGTTGTATGAACAACTCGTCGAGTTCTCATTCATCATATGAACACGTCCAGTCTGTGACTCGCCGAGTCGTATGAACAACTCGTCGAGTCTGTTCTTGAGCATGAACCGACTCGTCGAGTCCTAAGAACGACTCGTTGAGTCTCATGCATGCTAATACTATACAGTCGGTTCTAGTCGATTTCAGTGCTTCCAAATCATAGATCTGAGCTTCTAGGGCTAGTTTTACATGTAAAGTTTCCAACTTTACGTGCATGCACAAGAGAATGAGGCTAAAATACAAAAATCATCCAATACTAAGCACTTAACATTTAGAACAAGGCTATGTTTGCATAAAGGTGGCTATGTTGATCTGCAGGAGTTCAATCCAGATCTAAGGTTTCCATCCAAAGGAGAGTTCAAATCTCGAGTTTGAATCAAACCAACATTCCAAGAGAAGCATAAACAAGCATAAAATAGGGTTTAATGGAGGAATACATAAGGTAATAACTTTATTACCTGAATGAGAAACAGATGGAAACTAGCACTTGGATCTCCTTTCTCTTCTCTTGATCTTCTTTCCTTCCCTTTTCTTCCAAAGCTTCCAAGCTAGCACAAACACACTCAAGATCAACAATGGGGGCTAGGGTTTATAGGGGAAATGCTCTAAAGGTGCTGGAGACTGGGGTGGGAGGCTATAATGACGTTTAAATAGGGTACAAACCCTAGGATTTAGGGTTTCATCTAGACAAGCGGACTCGTCGAGTCCGGAAAATGGACTCGTCGAGTCGCCAACTAAAACGCATGCAAGTCCTGACTCTACTCGACGATTCGGGCTTCTGACTCGTCGAGTTCCTCTTAAAGAAGGAAAATACTTATATTTATATCACACACCAGAAATGGGCGTTACACAATTCTACTACCACTTCTTCTGGAAGTTCAAATACTTCTAATCTTTCTGATTCCGTTGGAGATTCTAAGTTTCATCAGCTTACTAAGGATCAATATATTAATTTTGTTACAACTGATTGGTGATAGGCAAATTCATGAGGAAGAATCTACTAGTGCTAACATGGCAGGTACTTGCTTGTTTTAAGTCTTTAATTCATTTATAAATTTTCAAAAATGGATTGTTGACTCGGGAGCTAATCAACATATGATTGCGTCTGAGTACCTTCTTCATGACACTATGGATGTGTCTAAATTAGACCTTCTTGTTAGTCAGCCTAATGGTACTTCAGCTAAAATTAATAAAATTGGTAATATGAACTTATCTAATTCATTAACTTTGTTTGATGTATTTTATGTTCCTGACATTAAATGTCAACTTGTTATCTATCCACAAAGTTTACAAAGACAGTAATTTTGAGGTTATTTTTAATGAACATGGTTGTAAAATTTAGGGTTTACAATCAAAGGATATTGTGGGGAATGGTAGAGAATTTGGAGGTCTCTATTACATAAATAATGTACCTTCAGGTAATTTGTCTAGTATTGTTAACTCTTTTTCTATTTGTTGTGTATCTAAACTAACTTGGCACAACATACTTGGCCATCCCCCTGATCAAGCTTTGGGTTCCTTAAAAAACAAACTTAAATTTAGTAATGAAGTTCTGCCACCTTGTGATGTATGTCATAAAGCTAAACAAACAAGATAATGCTTCCCTATTAGTCAACATGTTACTTCTAAAATTGATGAGTTAATTCATCTAGATGTATGGGGACCTTATATAGTGAAAACTTCAAAAGGATTTAGGTATTTCTTGACCACTGTTGATGATTACACTAGGGCAACTTAGGTGTATACGTTAAAGTCAAAAGATGAAGTTTATTATTGTATTCTTATTTTCTTTAATATTCTACTTAATGAGTTTGGTGTTATAATAAAAACTGTTAGGTTAGATAATGGAACTGAATTTTTAAACCATAGAATGAGACACTTGTTGGAGTCAAAAGGTGTGTTACATCAGACATTTTGAGTTCATACTCCACAACAAAATGAAGTTGTGGAGAGGAAGCATAGGCATAATTTAAATGTTGCTAGATCTTTAATGTTTCAATCTAGTTTACCTCTTAAATATTGGGGAGAAACAATTTTAACTTCTGTTTTCTTGATTAATAGAACTCCTACCTTTGTTTTAAATGGTGCTTCTCCTTATGAGCTTACTTATAATAATGCTCCTGTTTTTTATAAACTTAGGGTTTTTGGTTGTTTATGTTTTTCCACTAAATTAAATAATTCTGATAAATTTTCTGAAAGAGCTGATGAATGTATTTATCTTGGTTACTCTTTTGATAAAAAGGGTTATAAAGTTCTTAGCCTTGATTCAAATATTGTTTTCGTTTCCAGGGATGTAAAATTCTATGAATCAGTGTTTCCTTTCCAGCTTAAGTCTTCATCTTTGACTGATAAAGCTAATGTCCCTTTGAATTCAAGTGACCTGTTTTCCTATGATGAGTCATTGCATTCTATTATTCTTCTTGATAACACTAGTTTAGACAACTTGAAAAGTGACCATCAGTCAGATGGTGCTAGTGTAGACCAAAACTTGGATGAGACTTGTCCCTTTAATGTCAGCAATCAGACTAGTGAGGCACATGTGCCTTCTTCTGGTGTGACGTTTCCAAGTTCTTCTACATTGACTAAGGAAAGCGGTTCAATTAATACTAGTCCTTTTGAGAGTCAGTCAATTATGGTCACTAGGTATGGATGTAATGTACACATCCTAGTTAGGTTTAGTGATTATGCTGTGGAGGGAAAACACAAAAATGGAATTGAACAATTTGTTAACTATTCAACTCTTAATAATGAAAATCTTTGTTTTGTTTCTAATCTTAATAAAACCGTTGAACCAAAAAAACTATAGTGAGGCTGCTTTAGATCCACATTAGATAAAATCTATGAGGAAATGGAAGCACTTTATAGGAATAACACTTGGGAAATCACTAATCTTCCTAAAGGAAGAAAAGATATAGGATGTTCAAATATAAATCTAATGGAGATATAGAAAGATATAAAGCCATACTTGTGGCTAAAGATTATAACCAAAGAGAAAGTATTGACTATGAGGAGACTTTTTCTCCTATAGCCAAGATTGTTACTGTTCGTATTGTCATTTCTTTAATTGTTCATAATAAATGGCCTATTTATCAACTAGACATTAATAATG